CTTGTACATTTAATTAGAGCCTAATCACTATTAAGAGGTCAACTGATAGGGTTTAGCTATCAGGTTCRACAGTTCTTTCATCTTCTTCTTCTTCTCCTCTTCTTTCTTCTTCTCCTTACTGGTTCCGACTACTGTAGCAACAGTAGAAACAATGACAAACTTCATTTCTACTTTATTCAGTTATTTAGGCAACCACAGTTTTGACTAGATCAATCACCCACATGAACTTATTTGTAATTGTAATCAGTTCAATTTAATGATGTACTCAAGATCCTTTGGGATGAGAATCAATACATCAAAGACACCTTGTACCTCATTTCTCTTGAGAGTATCAACTCTCACTCTCACTTCCTGGTTTAATTAGATGTGCCAACATCTAAAGTCACATAGTAGCAGCAAGTTCTAGATTGAATATTAAAACCTGGTCATCATTCAAGAATAGGGAAAATCTCAGTTTCAAAAAACAGGAACCAAAATCAAGCTTTTTTTTCTCTGTTTTCCTGATTTTGTTGTCAAAAACTGACAATATTTTATTGATATAGGATGAATGTGGTACATAAGGCTACATAAGCTGTATAAACCTTTAAGATATAGAGAGATCCAGCCCCTTGCTGTTCATCCCAATTCCCAGAAAACAGATTCGAGTACAACCTCATTTTTACTCTAAGAGATATTCACCCGAAACTATATTTTGTCCACTTACTCCTTGTTGAGCTAGAGAGTTAGCAGTTTGAGGAACCTAATTAAAAACTGTGTCCAGTTCATTATCCAAACTTCTTTCTATAGTAAATGAAAAACTATATTGAAATGAAAGCAAGTACATCACAGGTTTTGAGGCCCAAATCAAAATACTAACACCATACTACAGATAATAATAGCATATATAAGCAGCTTTCAAAATACAAAAATGAAGGATTAAATGAAAATTAAGTTTGTGGACAAATACCTTGGAAAAAAGAGGTTTTAAAATAAGCATAATAAAACAGAACATATGCAACGAAAATTTAATAATAATAGGAGTGCAATACAAGGTGCACTTAGGATTAGAGACCAAGAGATAACTCAATGTGACCTTTTTTATGTTACCTTCGTTCAATAATTCATAGCATGGGGGAGATCGAGGAAGATGTTGCTCATACATGAGAGCAGGATGGGCAAAACAAAAAGGTGCATTCAGAGTCTTATATGAAAAGTGAATACCACTTAGATTAAAAGGAAAATTCTATAAAACCATTGCAAGGCCAGCATTGTTGTATGGAGCACATTGTTGGTCAATCAAAGAACAACATGTCCATATTAGTGTGACAGAAATGTATATGCTGAGATGGATGAGTGGAAAACTAGAAAGGAAATCATTCAAAGGGACCTAGGAGTAGCTCCAATAGGTGATAAAATGAGAGAAAGTTGGCTTACATGGTTCAGTCATGTGCATAGAAGATTACCTTACAGCACCCATAAGAAAAAGCTATCAGTTAGAAGTTGAAGGGGCTAGAAGGGCTAGAGGCAGACCAAAAAGGACTTGGATCAAAGTAGTAAGAAATTATTCGAGTGCTCAAAATTTAGCAATCCATATGGTTTTAAACAGAATGGAATGGAAAAATAGGATTCATGTAGCTGACCCCATATAGTTGGGATTAGGCTTAGATGATGATGATTATGATGACCCTACTTTTGTCCGGCAACCAAGTTTGACTCTATATTAGAAGGTTAAGATTTTTTAAAAGATCAATCAACGTCTCCCCATCCCAGACATGATACCATTTCCAAATAGTATATATGTATGATGTGTTATTTCCTTGCAGAGAAATGGGAGGTTAAAGATACATGGAAAAATCTCAACACTCAGGACAAACTTATCAATAAAAGCAATGAGAAATTGTCTCCATTCAGAAACATCAAAATGATTACATGCTGAGAAACATATAAGCCAAAGCAAGGAAAACTGAAAAGAATAATTCTTACCTCCAAAAGTGGAAGGAAATTGTTGAATGACAGATCCAGGGGACAACCATATATGAACTTCAGAACATTGACAGTTGTTTCCAAGTTCCAATAGACTGAAACATGATCTAAACAAGATTCACTGTAGGAATGAAAACATAAATGAGAAAAATTCTTTTCTGTATAAACCACACATTTCGAAGTTGTATATGTTGAAGATATGTGGCGGTGTTAAGTTACTTATCAGGGAAAAAAAGATATGTGGTGGTGTTGTAATATAATAAAAGGGTGAAGCAACCTAATTTTCTACAGAAAAATAATGGAAAATGATTTTAGGGATGCCCAAACTTCTGGTGTGTATATATATCCTGGGATTGTATTCAATTCAAAAACGCAACTGTTAGCGTGCTCTAATCCAAAAGGTTTCGAGACTGCACTGACAGTCAAATAATGGTTAGCATTTTCGTCATCTCCAGGTGTTCAAATCAACAGTAATGACATAATGAGAAAAGGGAAATGGTAACAAAACAAGTTCTCTTAGCTAGGTAAATGTTATTAGAATCTCAATCCTTGTAAGCTTATTAATGAAATAGCCAGCAACAATGATGTAAGAGTTTCAACAAAAAGACATGAAAAAAAGAGCTGATCAAACTCCCAATGTTACAGTGAAGAGGAAAACAGCATATTATCATAATTATTCAATAAATTACCTGAAACTCCCAACAAGGAGACCACTAAAATAGGTTGAATGTTGAATGAGCCTGAGTATCAAAAGTTACAACAAATAAAGTGCCAATCATAAGTTTCTGCAAACTCCACCAAATAATTAGATAAATAGAAAGCTGAATAAATGCTCACCTGCTTCTCTCTGCTTTAACTTTGATGCTTTCATGGCTGAGAATTAAAGGGAGGTTCCAGGTACATATATCTGAGGTTGAAATGAAAATCTCCTTCTGTGTAGTCTCCGCACCGATCACGAGAGGATCTTTCAACTCCAGAACCACGAAATTGTCCTTTGAGGTTGAAGCCATGGACGCAAAACCCCAACAGAACGCTTTGAAAGCAAGTCTAAATCTTCTTATTCGAAGTTTCTGCACCTAGGGAAGAAGCAAAGCTCTGTGTAGGAAGAATTGAAAGCACAAATCGGATACGCTCGCCATTTCAGGATAGAATCGGGGATGCACCGATGCAGAGTACAGACGCTGACGCATCACACGGCGGAGATGGAGAGACCGGATCTGCTCCTCGCGCCTCACACCGACCTCACAGGCACATCCAACCATATATTGGGAGCATCTCCCGTAGTTATTGCATTATTATTCACGGGATGTTCTCAACGCATTGGTGAGATGTGCATGTGAGGTCGGTGTGCGGCGCCCTGTGTATAGAGCAGATCCCAATTCGGAGATGAAGAGCCAAACCTCTAAATTTTTTAATTTCTAGCAGAACCTGCGATGTACGGAAAAATCTGAAAGATTTAATAATTTTATTTTTTATTTAATGTTGATTTATAAAAATAATTATTGTTAATTGAATATGAACAAATGTTTTTTAATAAATTTAGTTTTATTAATAATTTATAGTAATTTTAATAATTTTTTTTCTTTTTATTATTTTTAAATAAAATTTTGGTTAACTTTAAATAAATAAAAAAAATTACAAAAACTAACATGTTTATTAATTCCACTAATAATTAACAATTATATAGGAATGGCAACGGGGTGGGTTCAGGGCAAGGCACCCCATCCCTTTCCCTGCCCCATAGTCAATACACTTTATCTCATCCCCGCCCCGTCCCTAGTGTTACACAGGTTTACGGCAAAGTAACCACTCCTCAATGTCTGGCAAGTTTAGGGGCAAGGCACCCCACTCCTCATCAAGGATGGAGAATCCTCGAATTTCCCTGCCCCATCCCAGTATTGGGCGGGTTCAAGTTGAGGTGTAAATTGGGTTGTGCTGGGTCGGCACAACACAACCTGCATGTGGCCCGCACAAAGTGCGAGTCGTGCCATGCTGGCCCACGAGGCATCCCAGGCCATGCCTCCCTCCTCTATGATAATTTGGGGGGGTCGATTTTGCACAACCCGTGTTGTGCCATGGGTTGGGTTGCGCCTTGGGCCAGGCCATGCCGCACACCAAGCCAAGCTCAAGGCAAGGCACCCGCTCACTGTCCAAGGTATTTAAAATTAGACCGGATAGGGATTCGTTCTAGGTCGAACGGTTTGACTGTTCGGCCCGAACGGATGACCTACTTTCACAAAAAAATTAGAAAAACAAAAAAAGGACAAAAACTGTTGTCCAAGTTGACAGTTCGACCGCCCAGGTTAGCAGTTCGCTAACCAAATAAATAGTTTTTGGACAAAAAGTGGTTTTGAGGTGAAACGATGTTCGGTTCCCAATTTTTTCGGTCAAACCATCTGGTTTGATCTAGTTTTGAAAATACTGTCCCCGTCAACCCAATATTCAATTTGATGATAGAAATTATCAAAATGATACATTGAGTATCAACCACATGGTAAATTTCTATTATTGTTGATTGAAAGATTTAATAAATTTCCATTCAGTCATACCACAATCCCCATCCTCGACCCCAACCTCGATCCGGGAATCCTATTAATCCTCGTCCCCGCCCCATCCCGCCAAAACAATGCCCATCCCCAGCCCCGTTGGGTCTGGGAAGTCAGGTCCCCATCGGGGATGGGGAAATTGTCATCCCTAAAAGTGTGTTCTAATAAATGACCCTAATAGAAACACATAAGAGTATACAATTGTTTTATATTTTTAACTTCTTAAATAATTAATAATTATTCATATTTTATATACTACTTTTAATAAATGTTTTATAATACAAAAATAACAATAATTAATTTTGGTTAGGTTTATTTATCAATCTGATGAAACCAACCAACCCAATTAACTTGACCCGAGTTGGTCAGTTTTCTAGTATTTTAGGTTGGCTTTGGTTCAAAAATTTCCCATATCGACCAAATTGGATCAGTTCCACTTTAGCCATTTGTAAACCGATCAAAACCGAATGACCTAACCATGGACATAATCACACTATAAATTTTAAATATAATTTTTAATATGAAAAAGTGGGAATTTTCCCATATTTCATAGTCTAACATGTTTTATATCACACTATAATTTTTAAAATTAAATTAAATTTTTAAGTTTAAATCTTTTGAACAGAGTGACCAAACCAATACAACTTGAGTGGGTCAGTTTTCACAAAAGGTTAGTCGGTTTCAACTAACCAACTTCCTAACCTAACCAGGTCAATTTGGTTGACCAAATAGCCTACGACCGCACTAAACCAACTCACGAACACTCATAATTTCATCTAAATTAATAGTCTTATCTCTATTAAATAACAATAGTTTAATCTCCAATAATTATTGAAAATTTATAGCAAAAATACACCATTATTGAAAATATATATAATGAAAACTACAATAATTACAAAAATACAATAAGTACTAAAAATATATTAACTTAGTCAATAAATAGTATAATCTCAAATAATAGTTTAATCTCTACTAAATATTAATCAATAACGTATAACATAAACACAATAAATACAGTAAGTACAATAAATTAAATTTAAAAATTTCAACAATAGTAATTTAATCTCCAATAATTATTGAAAATTAAACAACTAAACAAAATAAATTTATACATACCTATTGCAAATACATTTATCGCAAAAAATAAATATTAATTTTAGTATATATAATTATATAATAAATATAGATTAAGAGTTTTAAATTATTAATAATAAATATTTTTTGAAAGTTATTTTCTCAAATTATTACTTGATATAAGTGAAATTAATTATTTACAATATTATGTAAAATTAAAATTATTAAATTATTATTAATTTCAACATTATGTTATAATTATTTTTTGACTTTTTAGATTTTTTAATTTATTTTTAACTATTTAAAATATAGTTATGTTAAATATTTTGTTATTTAAAATATTTAGTTATTTAAATACTTAAATATTATGTAAAATATTTAAGTTTTAAAATATTAATTGAAATTAATTATCCATAAAATCATAATTTATACTATGATTACATAATTTCATTATTAAATTTGTAATGTATTAAATTTTTATTAATTTAACTATTATGTTATAATTATTCTTCTACTTTGAAGAAATTTTTTAAATTTATTACATAATTTCGTTATTTTAACCATTTAAAATCTATTTATGATAAATATTTAGTTATTTAAATATTTATATAATCTATAAAATATTTAACATTTTTTGTTATTTGAATTTTATTTATTTAAAGCTATTACATATTATTAATTATTTAAAAAACATTTAAATTGATAATTTAGAAAAACATAATTTAAATTGTTATTACATAATTTCGTGATATATTTTGTAAAAACATAAAATTATTTTTTGTGTTTTCAATAAATATTTTAAAGTTATTTTATAATTTTGTTAGAATATTTAAATAATTCTTAATTTTTTTAATCCAAACTTTCTTTAAATAGATATAGATAAAAAGTTGGAGAGAGGATAAATAGCAATTAGAGATAATTTAGGAGAGAAACTCTCTACTAAATTAGAGATAATTTTGGAGATAAATAGGAATTAGAGATAATTTAGAACATAAATAGGAATTAGAGATAATTTTGGAGAAAGTGGGGGAGGTAGTTTAGGAGTAATTTTAGGAGAAGAGATTATTTAGGTTATTGAGAAAATGCTTCTCATTGGTTTGTTTCAATAATGACATGGAATTAAAAATACAAAAAATTCAAAAAAAGGAAAAAAAAAGATAAATAGCTTCTCTCAAAGGAGAGACATGCTGACACGGCATGACCAGTTTTAATATATATATATTAGATTTTGTTTTTGGATAAATATTTATTTAAAATAAAGGATAAAATTAAAATATAAATAATATTTTAAGTATATTTTGATATACATAATACAAATAGTATTATAAAAAACATAAATAATGTTATAAGTTTAATATATGCACACATATTTAATATACTAGTCAGGACCCGTGCAATGCACGGTCTTTATTTATAAGCAAAATTCAATATGGAACTCTATGACATTTCTAATTGAATGGTGTCCATCTAAGTTTAATTCAAGTATTATTTTTTGGGGTTATGTCTACTTTATGTAATCATTATCTAAAATTGTGCTTTAGTGAGAGTGGCCAATTTCCTATTTTCTAGATAAATTTGTATTATTTTTATCTTAAAGCTAATTATTATTAATTAATTATTACTATTATTGTATTATTTTATGTAAAATTATAAAACAACATCCTATTATATCATTTCTATAAACCACATTTGTGTTTTGACCCTAACAAAGGCCTCCCCTATAGGTTTTAGAAAAAAAAAATGCATTGTTATTGTATTATCATACATAATTTAAAGTTTCAATTTTACCCTCTACTTATTTATTTTGCTAGACAACTTTCAAAATAAAGTAAAAAGGCTAAAGTAAAGTATAATGAACACATTATATCAACATTTTTTATTTGGAATGTTGACGAAAGGGAGGTATTTACAATTTTTTTCAAAACAATAGTAGAGATTTCTATTAAGGTTAAAACACTGGGGAGCTTCATAGAATTGCTAGAAAACCCAAGGAGGTTTTTATAATTTTCCTTATTTTTAAATGAAATTTAAATTGATTTTGAAATAATTAAGCTATATTTAAAATTAATATTTTTATTAATTTTTAAATTTAGTAAAAATGAATTTATTTAAATATATTAAGTTTTTATTAAATTTAAATTCCTTATGAAATTCAATTAACTATATAAATTTTTACTTTTAATTGGAACTTAAGTTGGTATATTGGTTGACAGTTTTGCATTAGTTTTATATTAATTTTAAATTGATATTAGTTTTTAATTTATCTTATTCCTTTTATTAATTAAATTATTTTTGTTATATTAATAAAAGTAGGTTTATAAATAATAATAGTTAATAATTAATTTTATTTGATTTAAGTAACATACTAAATTATTTTCATTATGGATAACTAATTTTTATTATTTTCAAATGGAATAAAAATGGATTATAATTTTAAATGGAAGTAGATTATTTAGCATAATAATATATCATTGAATATCTTAATTCCAATATAATTAATCTTTACTAATAATTATAGTTTAACGCAAACATATCTAATATGTATAAAATTATAGTTAAATTGAAATGGATAGATATAGATGAATTCATACACGTTTGGCACGTCTTT